CTTTGGGTTTTGAGGTTTCTCCCCCGGCCTGGAGCTGACGTCCGCCCCTCAGGGCCACGGCTTTGCGGGCTCCGCTGGCTTGAGCAGATAAAGATGCGGCTTTCTGCACTCGTCAGGCGCCCCCCCTCCCCCCCCAGCTGTCTGGTGTTGCTGGGGATGGTCGGGAGTAGGAAGAAGGCTTGGTGGCCATGGGAGTCGATCGCATCTCCTAGACCCCGTGTCAGCTCGAAAAGGAGCAAGCCATTTTGGAAGTCAAGTTCTTGGCCACTTACCGAGGTTTGGGCACGACAGTGTGGTTAAAGCTATACAAAATGAGGGCGGGGTAATTTCACACACACACGAGCCCGAAAAAAAAATCTGACTATACGATTTTGGCTGCACCTTGGATTTTTCCCATTTCAGATCTGAAAAGACTAGAATGAAGGGGGAGATAAAAGGAGAAGATGTGATCAGTCAGGTTCCTGCCGTTTGGGGGAGCTGAGCAAGAAGTTAGAAGCCAAGAAAACGGAAGTGTCAGGAGACCAAAGGATAGCAAATTGAATAGTTGGAGAAAAGAGAAAACATAAAGGCAGACGATGACATTTGGTCTTCAAGAAATTTACAACAACCATTGGTAAATTAAAAAATGCAGCACCACAAATTCTGAGAAGCCCTTGGATGCCTGGTGATGCCTGTGAAATCATTCCAAGGCTGAATTGAGAAAATGTTGCTTATTTATGCTACTTAGCTACTATGGTGGGCGGGCAGAACGGAAGCTTTTAACACCGTTGTGAAAGTGAACTGTTTCTTTTTACTAGGTTGAGATGTTACTCATAAACTATTGGGTTTTTTTTTTTCCTTATAAATGAAACTACTCCTTAAACTGGGAGTGAAAATTGCTTCTTAATATTAATCAGCAGGTGAAGTTTTCTACTAATTTTCAGGGGTTTGGTTAGTCATACATGTTCAGGCTTTTTTTTCAGGGTTGCTAATGATAAAATGTCCTTGTCGATGGTCTTTTAAAGTTATTGTGGAACAGGCTGGGCAGTGGTGGCGCATGCCTTTAATCCCAGCACTCGGGAGGCAGAACCAGGTGAATCTCTGTGAGTTCGAGGCCAGCCTGGTCTACAGAGAGAGCTCCAGGACAGGCACCAAAATTACACAGAGAAACGCTGTCTTGAAAAAAAAACAGCAACAACAAAAAGTTCTTGTGGAAGAGGCCCATCCACATTGGTTTAAGGAAATTAAAGTGGGGGGGAGAACCAGTTTTATTGTCAGTAGACTGAGCTGTCAAGAGGGCCTACCAGTTAGTTCAGTCACAGCTGTTTCTGTGCCTCAGAGGGAAAGAATCACTGGCGGTAGAGGCGATTTACCGGGTGATAAATAATACACATCTACGCAGGACACGGGATACATGCATAAAGGCCCTGTGAGGAAAAAGCAAGAAGGCAGCATTCACAAGCCATGGGGCTGGCCCCTGAAGAAATAAACCAAAGCTATCCGTCTGGGAAGGTCTAGCCTCCAGTACTGTGTTTAAATTAGTCTATGCTATTTTGTTATGATAGCCCTAAAGGAAAAAAAAAAAAACAATGAAACTGTGATACATTTTTTTCTCATAGTGAATTAAGGTTGTTTGAGTATTTAAGCATGCTGAGTCCTAATAGTCATGGGTTATCAAATACTTTATACACCATGAAATGCAATTGGGAAGGAATCATGGTGTACATAGCCATTCTTCAGTGGAAGACTCTATTGTTGAGCATGTGCCTTGACATTTGAATAGATAAGCAAGCAGTGTGTTTCCTTGGATCCAAAACTCCTCTACAAAGGGCTTCTAAGACTGAAACATTTAGTTAAATTGAGGTTACACAGAGACCAATGAAAAAGGCAAGTTAAATTCAGTAGAATTAAAATATGCTCAATGAGTTTTTCTTGGAATTGGGAAGGAAATGTAGTCCTGCCTGCTGCAAAGGTAAAACAGAAATGGCAGAGTAACTTTTAAAACGTGTATGATCGAGCCTGGTGATCCCGGTACGCGCCTTTAATCCCAACACTCGGGAGACAGGCAGATCTCTGTGAGTTCGAGGCCAGCCTGGTCTACAGAACAGGTAGCTTCCACTATAATAGCTTCCACTATAACCAGTGGCGTTAAAATGAGCAAAAGAAATGTTCTTTACTCTTTGTAAAGAACGTTTAAATAGCATACATTTTGAGCAACCCAGTGCCCTAGAATGGCTAAGAAGGCAAGGCATTACCATCCAGGATAGCAATTAAGGGCGGGTACTTAGGAACGACCAAGTAAACTGCTGTCATGGTTACCTCTCTGTCTTCACCGCAGCAGGTAAAATTCAAAATGTCCTTTATGTGTAGAAAAATAGAGGCATAAGATTTCCTAGGGAAAAATCCCAAACAAACCGTAGGCTGGCCAGCACTGTGTTAATGACGTCACTAATGAATCCCTAAAGAACAAAATCTGAGTGTGGATGACCAAGGCAGGTGCTGGAGACGGGGCATGATCCAGCCAGGGCAAAACTGAGAGAATCTCCCCATGGAGGCCTTTCACGCGGACAGCCTATTTTGAAAAGACAGCTCTGAAAGGGGGTGGTGGGGGGAATAAAATCACATCTCCTACCCTGCATCCTTACATGTTTTAGAACAGATGCCAAATTAGGAAGCCCGTCCTCTGCTTTTTCTTTGGGTTATCTCATCTTCGGGGGGTGGGTTGGAGGGTGTGTGTGTGTGTGTGTGTGTGTGTGTGTGTGTGTGTGTGTGTGTATAAACATACAGCATGGCACATGTATGTGAGGCCAGCCAGAGTGTGTTCTCTGCTGCCACCCTGGGTTCTGAGGTCAGTTTCAGGTGGTTGGGCTTGCATGGCCAGCCCTTTAAATTACATAAGGTTTCCATGTGTCACACACAGTGTGCCTTTTTCTCATTGTCTGCTCCATAGTATTAATACAAGTTCTACTGTTTGGTATTCATTGCTGTCCACCACTGTCAAAAATTTGTTAAAGATGCCTGCTATTTATCTGATACCTATTTGTAGTTGAACTACTGTAAAATACCCATTAGCTAGCAGCTATAAATGAAAGCCTTCTGCTTTCCAAAGCAGCATCATAATGTGAATGCTGAAATTTGTTTTATTGTTATTAGTGCCTTAACCAGTGTATTAATGGAAATGTCTGAAAATTATTCTGTGTTTCTAATTTCTTACCCATTCCTTCCTCATCCTTTTTTAAATTGGGTCTTTCTAACCCCCTGAGTTCGGTCTTCCTTCATCATGCCTTCTTTATATTTTATTTCTTTGCCTCTCCCACTCATCACAGGTTTTCCTCTTTACCTGATACTGTTGGGTGGGCAGGGGTGGGGTGGGGGTGCTGGTGGGGCCATTGATGAATAGAGGATTCAGATCTTTAAACATCTCTAGGCTAGACCACTGCTTGTACAAAGTCACAGCTAAACAAAGCAGCTTTTTCTAGCTGGTTGCTATAGAGACAAATGACATTAAATGGAGTTACATTTGGCAGAGACTAAGTAAGTAGGCTTTGTAAGGCTGGGGGCCTCATATGCATGGCCTTTTAGAGGCAGAGACTAGAACGGCTGTGAAGGGGTCAGGTTTCACAAGTGAGCTAATGAGTTATTAGTTGGTAGATGTTGCCCAAGTACCCTTTGGTATGATTACACAGTATTTTTAAAAATACAGCTTAGTTGAGATGTACACATAACATACTCCCTCATAAGGTGTCTAACTTAATCGCTTTTAAAGGATATTCAGGACTGTGTAAGCATCACCGCAATTATGGAGTATTTTCATCATCTCAAGAAGGTACTTTTGGGCCTGCCATGAAAGTGTATACCTGTAATTCCAGCACTCAGAAGGCTGAGGCAGGAGGATGGCTAGTTCAAGTGCAGCCTGGTCTGCATAGCAAGATCTTGTCTCGAAAGACAAAAGCAGCTGAGTGTGGTGGGGTATAGAGCTTTAATCCAGGCCCCAGAAGACTGAGGCAGGCAGCAAGTGCAGTACCAACCAGATCTACACAGAGTGTGCCAGGCAGCCAAGGCTTCAGAGTCAGCTCTGTCTTTAAAAAACTGTGTGTGTGTGTGTGTGTGTGTGTGTGTGTGTGTGTGTGTGTGTATGTGTATTTCTTTAACTATCACACCCAGTGTTGCACTTTATAGATTTTTCTATTCTGACCAGAATAGACATCTGACCAGAATCTGCATCTATCAAATATGTCTTTGATATTTTCTTTCATGATGTAGCATTTATCCATACTTAAATCTGTTTGTGTTACCCAATAACTTTTTATTTTATGGATGTAACTCATTTTATTCATTGTCAGTTAATAGATATTTGAGTTGCTTCCACTTTTGTCTATTATATATATATATTGCTAGGAACATTTGTATGCAAAATTTTTGCATATGGCTGTTTTCATTTCTCTACATTTACACTTAGAGATGAACCTGGTCATGTATGGTAACTCCTTCTGAGGAGCTACCAGATTGTTTCCAAAAATATCTTCACCGTTTTACATTCCTATTAGATACGAGTGTTCCAATCTCTCATTACATTGACACTTGCTGTAATGTGTTTTTGAGGGGTCTGCAGGGATGACTAAGCAGTTATGAGTACTGGTTGCTCTTCCAGAGGATCTGGGTTCAGTTCCCAGCATCCTCATGACAGTTCACAACCCTCCATAACTTCAGTCTCAGGGGAGCCAACAAAACCCTCCTCTGGCCCTGCATGGACATCAAGCACATATATGGTGCACATAATGCAAGTAGAACACTCATAAAATAATAAAAAAAGTAAATATG